TTATTATTATTGTTTTATCAATACATCACATTTCTAAACAAATAGTTTGACAGAACCAGATCTTGTTGTTGTTGTTGTTGAGAAGAGAAGACAACTTCCAACAACATTCCTCCAGCTAATGCTAAGCTAAGCTACTTTAAGCTTTTCAGTTTCACTATGAGGTGCACTGCAACCGACTACAACACAAATAAACATTTTTGACTCGGGTTGTTACCTTGACCTTTAGCCATCCTCGTTAAATGTTATCAAAGTTATCTAGCCGGTTATTTTATTATCATTATTTTTATTCATTTATTTATATCATTTTGACTCTACTCTTGGTTTTTATTTGGCAATTTTTTCTCCATTTAGATTTGCTCTTTCTATTGTCATGAATAATTAAATAGCTTGACATTTCAGTATAAACGAAAGGAACACATTTTAATTTAATTTTAATTTATGTTTTTTGGAACCAAATGGGGCAAATTCTGTTTCTGAAGATGTTTTTTTTAAGCTGAAGACCTATTAGTTGTTGCTTATGCAGACATAAATCCTTTACTTCATTTAAAGTATTTTTTGCACTTCACTGAGCAACTTGCTGCTTTAAAAAAAAACCCCCAATAACTTCCCATGTTACTTCTGTCTACTAGTTTTTTTATTGTTCTCTCTGGGAATGTGGCTAATTTTATTATTACTGAGAAATGGAATACAAAATGTGCACATAATTAAAATTTTACATCATTATCATTATTGTGCTCTTTTTTCATTTTAATAAATTAATTAAAAATGTACACGGTTGTGTGTGCTACGGAGTGGTCAAACAGGGTTCAGAACATGACAGATGACAAAAGATCTGAGACACATTTCTTTCTTTTTTTTATTTTGCAAAATTTTTAGAAACACAAACCAATGTATACGTATTTATATTGATAAAAATCCAAACAAACGAAAGGCAACACATTTTTAGAAATTGGATTGAACGAGTAAAGATGAAGTGTCATGAATGTGCTACAGCTAATAATTCAGACTTTCCATAAAAGCAGAAGCGATTTAATGATTTAGTTGGAAGCTCTAGTTCCACCGTAGAGAACGTAATCAGATGCAGTTAAGAAATATATAATTCTTTTCAGCAGGTTTTTGTCTTGCAGATGAAGCCTAATGAGGAGGCACAGTTTGTGTTGGACCAGGCAGCTGGAAGAAAACAGAAAAGGTCAGGGATTTAGTCTGTGTTTGATTAAATGACATGGTGATAGATGGAAATGCATGCTTACCGTTGGCATTCACGTGAATGCAGGCGTAAGAGGTAGAGTACTGGGTCCCCCAGTTTTGGTAACTGTAGGTGCTCTCATCTAACCACCTCCAGCTCTGGAGTTAAAAAAAAAAAAAAAAATCTGTTGGTCTTAACTAAGAACAGTGTGTGTACTGAATGCATCAATCATGATGGCATTTGTCTATTTATTTTATTATGCTGTACCAAGGGTATGTGAACTCACTGTTCAACGCTCTACTGGTCATTGCATTCAATTTAAATGATATTTGAATTTAATTATATGTGTCTATGAAATTGGTCATCATTATTTTTAAGTCTATTTAAGGTCCCTTAAGATAAAAAAAAAATCATTAATATGTGGCTATTATTGTACCAATTTCAAAAAGTCACTCCCCGCACAAATTTTAATTCACTCACAATTTTCTCTCTCAGTGGAAACTGACCCTGTTTAGTTGAACACAACACTAAAATACACACAGAAATTGAACAGAGACAAACGCAAAGATCTTCCTCAAGAGAGAGAGAGAGAGAGAGAGGGAGAGAGAGAGGGAGAGATAATTTTGCCTGTATTATCTCTCTTTACTTCAGATTAATAATTTTTGCCTGTTTTATCTCTCTTTACTTCAGATTAATAATATAATATTATATAATCTACATTTTGTTTGACTTAATTGTGTCCATACCTGCTACTATTTTCAATGTATTTAGTTTGTTGTTTCCTTGTCTTCATTGATGTAATACCCATAATTCCTGGTAACATTTGGCAAATGAGTTACAATGGGCCTGGTTTAGCCTGTTTTTATTCCCGTTGGTACAGTCATTGAAATAGCTCCCAACCCCTTATTTGAGAGATGGATTAAAAAGGATGTTTGTGAAATTACCTGGAAGTAGAAACCTCCCGTCCAGGCGGTGCTGTATCCTGCTCTCCTGGTCAGGCTCTGCAGGAAACTGTACTCAAACAGATCGTGGACAGAAGGTAAAGAGGCTCCGAAACTGTTGCAGTAGTACTGAAAACAGACAAATGAACAAATGAATGAGGGAATAAGGTGAAGTGTGTCTGTGTGTGTTTTGTGTTCATCGGTTGAAGAGGTTAAAATTTACCGCAGCACTGGACCAGGATCTGCTGGAACTCACAAACTGGTAGCAGCCACCCTTGTATGGCTCCCACCCAGTAGGACAAGTAAAGAAGCGAACTGCAGAGAGGAGAAGAAGTGAGTCTTTTAAATTACATTCAACACAGAAATCCTCTTCACACTGAACAGTAGCAACAACAAACCTTCAGGTGAAGGATCCATCTCTCCAACAGCTAAAAAGAAGAGCGAGAGCTTCAGTCTTTAACTTATTTTACACAGGAGAAAATAATAATTCATTCTTTTTTTTTTTATCTGTTACCTTCAGGAGCAACAGGTTCAACTTTCTTTTCTTCCACAACCTCCTCCTTTGGTTGTGGTTTTACTGTAAAAAAATAAATAAAAATCATTAGTTGGTTTTGGTTCTGTTTTTTTAGGACATTGTGGTAAATGTTAAGATAATAATAATAATAATAATAATAATAATAATAATATAATAATACTAAAAGTGAGATAAAACTACAGAAGCAGGGGCTGGAAACTATCATTTGAAAATGTATATGTTTTTACATATACAGGTGGAAATACTACAGTACACAGTTGTAGTAAATGCATCTTGTCTTCTGGAGTCGTGAGTTACCTTCATCAACTTCAGCTGTGATGAAGAGCACAGCACCGAACAAAACAGTGAGGAGCAGTAAGGTCTTCATGGTGAAGGGTGACGAGCGACGATGAGACTCAACGTGAGGTCTGGTGAGATTCAAAGATCAGAACAACAAGTAGGAAACATCTAAAGATGAAGTACGATAGAAATGAAACCAGAGGGCGGTGTTACCTGCGAGCAACGGTTGTCCAGGTATCGGCTGATGAGAATGGAGATGATGCTGGTGAGGCTGCTCTGCTCTTTATATCCACCGCTGAGACCTGAGCTGCAACGTGAGCCAACGCACTCCAAACAACAAGGTTTTGTGCGTTAGCTAATAATTACACGAGCGGTATCAAAACACCGGCGTGACTGATGGAGTCATAACACAGATAAAAACACTCACGTTCTCTTTTCCCGAAAGCTCTTATTGATAACAGCCTGACACTGTAGGTCAGGGATAAATTTACTGTAACAAAGCATGACCTACTTAAAACCACATACTTGGTTGGTTTGGTTAAAGTGTACAGAAGCAAAATCAAATGATCAAAGATCAAACGGCGAATGATTGAGAGTGTTAGAAATAAAGGTGTCAAAAATGCTGTTTCTTACAGTTTTCGTTGTAATACTCAAATGTATGGCCCGCGGACCAAAAATCAGCCCACTAGGGGGTTCGATCCGGCCCACTTAATGAATTTTTTGAAGTAAAAAAAATGCACAAAAACATTATGCCTGTGAATTATAATTTCATTAAATATGAATATTTTCAAATATACATTGCTTTATACTTTATCCGGTTGGCAGGAATATTTGCTTGAGATATTGAAGCTGAGACAAAGACTGTGGATGATGACAGGTATCAGGTGAGCGATATTGAACATGAGAATGTAAATTATTATTATTATTGTTATAATGTCAGGGAATGCTAGTTATACTATCTGATTGTAGAGTCAGGCATTTTGGATGTTTCAGTCTGCTACTGAGCTTCCCAGTGCAGTGATGGTATCCTGCACAGGGTTATTAAAATAGATCTAATTATTAATAATTATTATGAATTATTAATATATCTAATATTAATATTATAATATTATAAAATCAGTTAAAAATATGTTAAATTGTTTTTTTTTAATTGTTTAAATTTAAGAAAATGGAATGTGACCAAATCCTCAGCCGGACTCTTTTTTTGTTTTTCACTTTCTGAACTGAACTTTTATCTTATGACCGAGGTTGTAATGATAGATGATAGATGAAACCGAGTTTCATTGTTTTATTATTTAATAGTTCCATACTACCTTTGTAACATGACTGACCTGACCTGGTGCGATAAACCATGCTACAATGAGTGGGACGACGATGCACAGTGAATAATTACCTGGACAATAAAGCACGTGTTAAAATCCTTGCCAACTTTACTCAAGGTTTGACTTTATTATGATGTATTGACTTTCGAAAGCAACTTTGATAATAACTGGGAAACCAATAAGGAAACACTGATATCAATCCTATTGTTATGAAATAATTAACTAACAAGTGTTTTTAGGACTTCAATAACAAAACAAAAAAATTTATTCCTGGCCGTTTTTTTATATATATTTTTTAAAACACTTAGAAAATAAAAACAATGACAACAAAAGAACTAATTTATTCCTGGCTGTTTTTTTTATATATTTTTTAAAACACAAAATAAAAACAATGACAACAAAAGAACATGTTTTAATTGGACAGCCGATATTATCGGACATTTCCAATGTTGCCTAATGTTAGCACAATTATGAAATATCGGTAAGAATCGTTATCGTTTTTTTCTCCGATAATATGTTATGTGAGCTAAAAATAGTTTTGCATGTATCGGTATTGAATGATGTCGTGTTTGGACAATATCGACATATCGGGTATTGGCAAAAAGTACGAGAAAAACAAGAAACAAGGGCACTTCAGTGTTCAGTTTGATCGGTTTGTCGTTCGTTGTTCGTTTTTTCCTGTCCATTCTCGCAGCCGGTGATTCTTTATTGATTGATTTCATTCGGAGCTGTCACTCACACAGTGAACAAGTCATTAAAGTTGGCCTGTAGTGATGTCGGACTCAGCAGACCAAACATCACCTCGCCCTCATTTTTGTGACTGACAAAATGTCACGTCAAGACTTTATTTCTGTCGGTCTGTGTCGCGTCGGCGTGTCAGGTCTGAATGATAACGGCAAGGTTTCTTTTTCGCTAAGGCAACCGGGTTTCAAATGAACTCCTCAGTGGGCACCAGTGAACTGTGAGAATTGATTCCAGGTTAAGACATTACTGATCCCCCCCGATTGGCCTTTAGTGCCAGTAAACACTCAGAGGGATGATGGGAAATTTAAGCCTTTTGGGGTCGATTAATCGTTAGCAATTGGGTTGAATAAAATGGCAACCGTTTCCTTCATAATTAGCAAATCTTTAACAGCAAATCCCTAATCACAGGAAGACGATAAAAAACGATTGAAGTATTGATTAATTTTAAATTTCAAGAGGGGCCGCACGGTGGTCAATGTTGGTAAAACGTGTGCCTTAATGGGAAGGAGTGTTTGTGGTTTGATCCCCGGTTGATCTTTCTACATCGAGATTAAATGTTGGATGGATGGATGGATGGATGGATGGATAGAAAGAGCTCGCCCGACTCCTCTAACGGACAATCCTCCACTTTGTTTCGCCTGTCAACGGAGGCAGGGGTCGGAACTATGCAGATCACCCAGATCTCTCCACAGTTTTGTTCTTAGGACTCTTTCTTTGGTGTAAATGTGACAGCTGTGCGTTGTGTTTTAATTTGCTCTTTCTCAGCTCGACTCCACTTTGTTTCGTCTGTCAACGGAGGCAGGGGTCGGAACTAATCATATACTTCTGACTATACCGTGAGTCATATTATGACTCACAGCTAAATTAAAAAAAAAAAAAAAAAAAAAATTCTCATGAATCACATCAAAATAAGAAATACCATTATTTAACTAAAGAGTTTTGTATTATTTCAAATTATTTTTTACAAATTTTCTTTGACACTTCCCTTCGCACTTCATCATACCTTATTTATAATTTGCTTAACTTTCCTTAATTATAATTATACTTTAGTAAATATATAAATAAATACATTTAGAAAAGGTGGAATTTTAAACCAAACACCGCGGTCATTTTGTGAGAATCATAATTACAGTGCTGAGACTCACGAATAGGGACTTGAAGTGGTTCTAATGTTTTCGAGAAAGAAAAAAAGAAAGCAGAGGAAAAGTCATTATGGCACTGCTTTCTTCGGTCTCCTTCAGGGACCAGTTAGAGTGAGGCAGAGTCAATTACGACGCTTCGGCTCTTTACTAGCTTATTTCAAAATGTACATCTGAACTTTGATGTGGCACATAATGACTTAAATTAATAAAAAAAAAGCTCTCATGTGGACGTTCGACGCTGCTCCTCTTCTGATGCCCTCAGTGACGGAACGTGTTATTTGATTCATGAAAAGAGAGTGCACTTACTTCCTGGTTATTACGGCTCACTCAGTGTTGTTGTCCAAATATAAGGAGCAGATGGAACTCACCAAGGTGTGTAAGGAGCGACGGTATATATATATATATATATGTATATATGTATATATATATGTATATATGTATATATATATATATATATGTATATATATATATATGTATACATATATATGACTTGAAAAGGTCCCTAAACATCAGATATTAACAGTATGGAATTTGAAGTTGTCACTTGCATGATATTTTGACTCAATAGCGCCCCTATTGGTCTGCAACAGGAGAATGTTTCTTGCAGACCAGGGTGTCACCCTTTTGGTTCAGGGGCCTAATTTGGTGCAAAGTGGGCGGGACCAGTACAATCATGACATAATTATCTTAAATAACAATAGCACGTCCATGTTTATTCCCCTATCGTTTTCCTGCAAATCAGTACAAAAATATTAGAAAATATTCATATTTATCTCTATCACGAACCACTAAGCTTTTGGTTTTACTCTGTTTGGAGAATGTGATGCTAATGACTCGTTGCTAGCAGAAAGAAAATTGATTGGACAATTCAAAATGACTAATTCAAATGTAATGTATCAGTCAGAGCCATTCATTAAGTTATCGTTGAGTTCAAGTAGATTTAACATCACTATTGCAATAAGCGAGACTATTTTTCTCCCTTTATTTTCTGGATACAAAGCGTTTCCCAGTCAGACAGCGTAGCTGTGCGAACAGGCTAATCTCAACTATCTTTGGAGCTCTTTAGAGTGCAACACTAGACACAAAGGCTGACAGACACAGAGGATTAAAATAGGTTTAGGGCCCAGGATAGTGGAAGAAAAAGGGTTTCTCTTGGGCTTTTATAGTATGAAGTGTGACCTATTTAAAACATAAACAAAAAGGGAAAAATGTCCAAAGATGACCTGGCTCAGCCTTTGGCACAGTTGATAGGAATAATATAATAATAATAATAATAATAAAAGATCAGATGTTTATTGCTTTTATTTAACCTTTATTCTCATTTTATTAACATCTTTTTAACTGTGTTGTGAAACACATGGTGCATAAAGGCAAACAGCTTAAGTATGTGTTACAGGCAAAAGAGTTTTGGAAAGTTACCTTTTGGCGATTATCTTCCAATATCGATGATATGTTCGATTTTTTAACCCATTAAAACAGTCTAATAATAATCAAAAAGAAAACTAATGCTTTCTCTATCAAGTTCTGGAATCGCCTCCATTTGACTATCATTGAAAGTGTACCTGATTCAAAATGAATTTTTGACCCTCTTGTCGACTAGTTTGATCGCCTCCATTTGACTATCACTGAAAGTGTACCTGATTCAAAATGAAGAGTCAAACTACAATTTTTGACCCTCTTGTCGACTAGTTTTATTTTTAGAACATACCCCACAGGCGCCTTAGGTAGTTCACGGGGGCTACCAGGTGCGTTGGTGACCCCTGCTCCGTACCATGTCTACCTATGCTCCTCCAGACCACTACAGATGGAGCCGCGGTGGATTTTGCACCTGTTCATAAAGGTCTTAAGTGAACATTTTCTTCCATCTTGTCACAAACCGCTGTAATCTGAAACCAAAAGAGCCGACCCGGTGCACTGATCTTCTGTTGCTATTGTGAACAAAAGCTCAACTGTGGCTTCGTGCAGCTGCAGCATTAACGTCAACAAACAGCCCATAATGATGAAGTTGTTTTCGCCTCTCTCTCTTTCTTTGTTTTGTTTCTCACCCGAAACTTCAATGCAAGGCACGTTTCACGCTAACAACAGCTGTTGTATGGGTTCCTCGCCATGTCATAACATCAGACTGACTGAACACGTAGTCAGAAAACGAC